AAGTTCAACAAATGATAAAAGTGATGCAACGCCTTGTTTCCTTTCTTTCCAAACACCTTATAGGAAGTAAAAGCAAATTGTGAACTGTAGTAAGCTGTCTTATGCAATAGGATTTCCTGTCTCTTAGAGGGAGGGCAGTTTTCAGGCAGAAGTTGAGCACGTATATTCTGGATGGTGTGAGAGCGAATTTTGCAGGGGTAAAAAGTTAAAATACATGATTTTTAAGACTTATTTGATTCTAAGATTTTATTAAAAGTAAAACTTTTTTTAAGTATACTGTATTGATTACACTATTACAGTTGTCCCATTGTGTTTCACTCTTTGTCCCCCTCTTCCCTGTCCTCCCCTGCTCCTTCCAGCATTCCCCCTACTTAGTTCATGTCCATGGGTTGTACATATAAGTTCTTTGGCTTCTCCATTTCCCATACTGTTCTTAACCTTCCCCTGTCTATTTTGTACCTATCAGTTATGCTTCTTATTCCCTGTTCCTTCCCACCCAGTCTCCCCTCCTCCCCTCTGATAACCCTCCATGGGATCTCCATTTCTGTGATTCTGTTCCTGTTCTACTGGTTTGCTTAGTTTGTTTTTGTTTTTTAGTTTCAGTTGTTGATAGTGGTGAGTTTGTTGTCACTTTACTGTTCAATTTTTGATCATCTTCTTTTTGTTAGATAAGTCCCTTTAATATTTCCTATAATAAGGTCTTGGTGATAATGAACTCCTTTAACTTGACCTTACCTGGGAAGCACTTTATCTGCCCTCCCATTCTAAATGATAGCCTTGCTGGAGAGAGTAATCTTGGATGTAGGTCCTTGCCTTTCACGACTTGTAATACTTCTTTCCAGTCCCTTCTTGCCTGTAAGGTTTCTTTCGAGAAAGCAGCTGATAGTCTTATGGGAACTCCTTTTTAGGCAACTGTCTTCTTTTCTCTTGCTGCTTTTAAGATTCCTTATCTTTAATCGTGGGTAATTTAATTATGATGTGTCTTGTGTGTTTCTCCTTGCGTCCAGCTTCTTTAGGACTCTCTGAGCATCTTGGACTTGCATGTCTATTTCCTTCACCAGGTTGGGGAAGTTCTCCTTCATTATTTTTTCAAAAAAGTTTTCAATTTTTTGCTCTTCCTCTTCTCCGTCTGGCACCCCTATGATTCAGATGCTTAAAGTTGTCCCAGAAGTTCCTCAGCCTCTCCTCATTTTTTTGAATTCTTGTTTTTTCATTCTTTTCTGGTTGAATGTTTATTTCTTCCTTCTGTTCCAAATCGTTGATTTGAGTCCCAGTTTCCATCCCTTCACTGTTGGTTCCCTGTGTATTTTTCTTTATTTTACTTTGTATAGCCTTCACTTCTTCCTTTATTTTTTGACTGTACTCAGTCATTTCCATGAGCCTCCTGATTACCAGTGCATTGAACTCTGCATCTGATAAACTGGCTTTCTCCTCGCCGGCTATCTCCTTGTTGCTTAGTTCTTTCTCTGGAGTTTTGATCTGTTCTTTCATTTGGGCCATATTTCTTTGTCTCAGCACACATGTTATGTTGTAAGGGGTGGAGCATTACATATTCACCAGGGCAGGGCAACCCTCTTCACTGTGTTGTCGTGCTATATGAAGGGAAGGGGTTAGAGAGCAAACCGTGCTGCTTCCTCAGCTCTCGCCTTGCTTTGAGTCACTTCTCCTGCTACACTCAAGCAAATTGGGCCCTTCTGGTGCTGATTCCCAGGTGGATGGGTTTGTGTTTGTTTTAGGACCCCATGGGTCCCTCCAGTGGTCTCTTCTGTGAGACGAGGAGTTTCTCCCACCACCGCAACCCCCACAGGTTTTTACAGCCAGAGATTTTGAGGCTTTATTTTGCTCTTGCAGGAACCCTGGGTTGCACAGTCTGTCTTGCTACCCAGTTGTTTCTTCTGATGTATTTGCACACAAATGTGCTACCACCTGGTCTTCTAGCCTCCGCCTTGCCTCGAGTCCTATCCATCCCAGCTGCCCATCTCCACCCATCCTACCAGTCTGGATAAATGTTTCTTCTTATAACTCCTTGGCTGTTGGACTTACATACAGTTCAATTTTCTGGCAGTTCTGATGGTTCTCTGTTTTTAAATTGGTTGCTATCCTTCTTTTGGTTGTGCAAGAAAGCAAAGCATATCTAACCATGCCTCCATCTTGGCCAGAAGTTAAAAATAAAATCTAAAAAACCACATATTACTGTATATAAGAAACATTTTAGTACACATATTATACTTGGTATCTTCCTCAGTTTCAGAAAACATAAACATATTTTTAGAATTTAATTACATTATAAATATAACCCTGGCAAAAAGGACATGCAGGGAACCGTGAATCAAAATGAGAACATTGTCTAGTGTTTCATATAATTGGATGGCTGGGGATGAGGTAGGGTTTTATGTGCACATCATGGTTCGAACCTGAGAGAGCTGGAGAATTTCTAAATTTATCACAAAGAAAAACTTATTAAATGTGAAATTCTATAATTATATGTAATGACTATGAAAAATTACTGTATTTTTCCTCAGTGTTGGAAAGTCAAAGTTTTTGATTTTCTCTGTGACTAAATTAAACATCCTTCAGTTTTGTCTTATTTTTGTTTTATTCCTCCTTATATCACTGTGTTTTGATTTTTCAAGGCACAAAGGACTTTGGAATTGAGCACAATTATGCTTTTCAGATGTAGTTTCTATAAGTTGTGAGTGCACAAGATTAGGAATCTGGGACTTAAAGATGGACTCCGTGTTCCCTGAAACTCGCTGGCCTTCGTGGGAGCTTCAGTGTTGGTTTGGCATGGTGATCCAGTCTCACACGAAAGAAGAGCAATATTTAATTATGGTAATTAAAAGCTGTGAGCCTTGGAATCAGCAGATGGAATCATCCTTTGAATTATAACCATGTCTCTTATGGTCTTAGCATTTTTTTCAGTCATCAATGTGTTAATTGTATAATAGTCACCATGTATAAGTCCCAAATTTATTTTTCTGTTATAAAAATGTTTTTAGGTTTCCCTGTGTTCTCAGAGTCCTTTCACTTAGAGAAGTATATACATTGTTAATTTTAAAATTTCCTCGCCCAGAAGTCTTTTATCCTCTACACCTCTCACTTATGCTTGTATCCTAACACACAGGAACTGGACCTGATGACAGGTTTGGGGCAGAGATAGGCAAAACCAGTGGCCTAAACCACAAGAAGCCTAAAGATAGGTGAGGGACAGTATGAGCATGAAGGTTCATAGCTAGATATGGGCTGGCCACGTGATAAGGGCCTAGTATAATATGTGTTTGATAATTAAATAAAAAGTGAATAAACCAGAACCAAGCATGCAGCAGAAATGGCACAAGAAGGGAGGGAAGGTGAGGGAATGAGTCAGAAAGGGCAAAAACAAATGAAAGAGAATGGGGATTGGTAAATAGTGAGAAAATAGGACTCTAGATATGGATATGAGAGTGCAAGTAGATAAAATATGGTGGAGGCCTCTGGCTGGTGGCTATAAAGTTGCCTGCTATTATTGTTCTCAGATCTAACTGTTTCTTAGGAAGAGTGATTTTGAACCATAGCTTTGACGTTTTTAGTAAATAACCTACCCTACTACTTTGACTAAAAATTCCTACCACCTCACTGGGCATTTGGGAAGTCCTAACTGTAATATAGACAGACACTGCAATGATCTCTTTGCTTCTGGACCCTTCCTAGTTATAATGAGAGGTCCTAAAAGTAGTGAAGTAACTCACCTTGCTTTGGTTAAACATTTAATTCCATTCCTACCTAGCAACCTGCCTGGGAAGAATTCTCAAGGGCTCTAGGAATAAATATTATATCATAGCTCATCTAAGTCTGAGCTGCTGTGTCCTGGTTTTTGAGCAGCTGTTCTAATTTGCTAATGACTATTCTGCTTTGGCTGTCTTATAAAGGAGATGCTAATCCTGAAGTTAAAAAAGACAGCAAGAGCCCTGGCTGGTGTGGTTCAGTGGATTGAGTGGTAGCCTGCAAACCAAAGAGTCACCAGTTCAATTCCCAGTTAGGGCACATGCCTGGGTTGTGGGCCAGGTCAGGTGTCCGGTAGGGGGCGTGCAAGAGGCAACCATACATTCATGTCTCTTTCCCTCTCTTTGTCTCCCCCTTCCCCCCTGTCTAAAATAAATAAATAAAATCTTTTTAAAGAAATCTTTAAAAAGATTTTATTTATTTAACAAAGCGTTTGTTAAAAATCTTTAACAAAGCCAAGGCAAAATCTCATGGGGCAGAGAATGCAAGTCTTAGGTATCCAGTAGGTACTTCATTTGTTACTTCATTTTTCCCATTTTTGAGCACAGAGTTTAGTAACTAACTTACCTAGGGTCACACAGTGGGCAAAACTAAGCTAGAAATATTTGTCCTATGTTTTTGTATGGTAGATTCAATGCAGTTCCCATCAAGATACCAATGGTGTATTTTTTTCACACAACTAGAACAAATAGTACAGTTTTTTGTAATATATATATATATGCATACATACACACGCATACATATACTTAACAGATACTTGGGGCCTTTAACCCATTATCTTTTACCTAATTCTAATAGAGTGGTGGAACATAGCCATAAAAATATTTAATTAAAGCAGGTCCAGAATCTCCCCCTAGTGAAAGAATAAGATTATCTTTTTCATATGGTGCCCCTAAATTTCATGCCTTAGAAGGCTGCTTTGTTGCCTCTAAAACCTTTTATGGCCTTTGCTGATCTAGGTTGTGAAACATTTCTTTCCAAAACAAATTAATCATTTATGTTGAATAGAAGTGGCATGTATACAACTGAGAAGTTCAGAGCTATCTTATGCAAACCATTTTCACCCACTGAGACCTTTATGCTGTGAATAAAGAGTTTGTAGAGCTGATTGAGCTTTGCAATTTTGCAGTTTCTGGGAGGGAATGATGTTATATATTATAAAAAATATATAGGAGGTACCAGTTGGTACCAGAAGAAGAGCTTCAAATCTAGACAACTGTTAAATTAAAAAGAACATGGTGCTCACTTCAGTAGCACATATACTAAATTGGAACAATAGAGAAGATTAGCATGGCCCCAGCACAAGGATGATGCACAGATTCATGAAGCATTCTGTATTTTTTAAAAAGTTAAAAAGAACATGGTTCTGCTTCAACAGAAGAATAAAACATGACTCTGAAGAAAATCGTAAGAAAGTATGAGATCAACAAAAACCCTTCGATAATGTTGTGAACTTCCTGAGGAGGAGTGCATTGTAAATAGGCTGGGCAAACATAGGAAGCAGTACACAGGAAATTAAAAATAAGAACATTTGAAAAGATACTGGAAAGAGGGGAATTTTACTTAAAATAGAAGTGAATCATATAAGGAGAGTAGTTGGGAACAAGTAATATGCCTCAACGTAGATGCCCAACAGTCAGGAGTGCTTAAAGAATTTAGAAAAACTTTTTGGTCTCCAGTTGGGCAGAAAGTTTTTATAACAACAAAAGGAGGATCTGTGGGAAAGAAAATGAAATCTGGATCCTTTCTTGCCATGTATAAAACTTTTTTCAAATCTCTCTGCCAGGGGTATTACAGAGGGAGGAGACATACAACACTAAGTTCAGGGCAAACTGATCTTAAATATTATAAAAGGGAAGCCTTGAAATTACATTTTGAGGACTGTGGAGATTTAGACACTTGCCATCTCAAATTACAGGCAATGTGAATTACAGCCAAGAATTGGAGTAAGGAGAAAGTTTTAGCCCAGTTTTTTCCAGTTTTTTTGTGACTCAAATGTGAATCTTGTGCCCATACTATGCCTCAGTTTCCTTATTCATACAACAGGAAAACCTTCTGTTTCTTACCGAGTTTGCAGACCTGCTGGGGTTGAATGAGGTAATGTCTGTAAAGGCCTTGAATTCTTAAGGGAAAGTCTACCTAAACAAAGCAGTATTGATATATATTAAAATTAAAGACCTAACTTCCCTGTAGAAATGGAAATACCCTATTTACATTTCCCATAGCTTTAAAAAATATCAGAATGAAGGGCAGATTTCCTCTAAATGGGATGCCACAGAAGAATTGAGTGGGGAACAGCTTCATTTTTGAAAAATTTCTGATGCATTCTCAAGCTGTAGTCACTTGATACTTCCCAGTCCTTTCTTTGATTCAATAGAGCAAAATTTCTGGCTACTGTGAACCCATCACATCTATAATACTGAAGGAAGTGTTTATTTCTTTTAGAGGAGCTGAATGTGGTCAGGTTGAAACATAATTATTCTCATTCAAGCCTCTTTGGTGAGAAGGAACAATTTTACTTCCACAGCTCCAGCTATGGTCAGGACCAAACGTGAACTGAACCAGCTAGACTGTCCTTGTGCTGTGGTTACAATATGGTTTTACAGAACTGATAGGTATGGAGTTTGATCTTTTTTTCTGGAGCTCTTTTCCCGGATAGTGTAAAGAAACAGGTAGTAAATATTTTAGGCTTTGTGGACCATCTGTCTCTCTTGTAGCTATTCAGCTCTGTTCTTGCAGCATAAAACAGCCATAAACACCATATAAACAAATGAGCTGTGTTTTAAGAAAGCCTTATTCATGGATACTGAAATTTAAGTTTTATGTAATAGTCCCGTACCATGAAATTCTCTTCATCAATTTTTTTCAAATATTTTAAAATGCAGAGATTATTCTTATCATACAAAAGTAGGTGGGCCAGATTTGGCCTGAGCTATGCTTTGCTGACCCCTGCTCTGGAATGGCCATGACCAACACTCCTATTCCTTTTTATCACTCCATTTAATTTATCACTCCAGGATACAGAAATTAACCCCAAAGAAGTATATTCCATTCCACCCTTGAGGCACTATATTGAGAGCGTGCACAGAGAACCATATCACTCTCATCCTGTGGACTGTTCACAGTGTAATATGCTGCTGGATTGTAAGGTTTTTAAGGGCAAGAAGCATCTTTTATTCATTATTATAAAACTTGAATCTCATTTGTTCCAAAGAAGAGACTCAACAAATTGTTAAATTGATGAAATCTCTGTATGTGAACTCTTTGAATAGATTTCATTGGTGGTAAGATCACCATGTTAAGTTGCAGCCTCTTTCTTTCAAGCATACTCTCTTCTCTCCAGACTGTCGGCTTCTTCATTTGCTTATGCCAACAATTCTTGATAAACTATAGTAAGGAAACAGAATAGAGATATAAATGAATAATTTAAGATATTAGAACAAAGTCCCCAAATTATTTTTTTATTGATTATGCTATTACAGTTGTCCCATTTTCCCCCCTTCATTCCCCTCCACCCTGCACACCCCCTCCCACCCACATTCCCCCCTTTAGTTCATGTCCATGTGGCGTAAGTTCTTTAGTTCCTACATTTCCCGTACTATTCTTGCCCACCCCCTGTCTATTTTCTACCTGCCATCTATGCTACTTATTCTCTGTACCTTCTCCCACCCTCCTCCCACTCCCCCCTGTTGGCAACCCTCCATGTGATCTCCATTTCTGTGGTTCTGCTGCTCCTGTTCCAGTTGTTTGATTAGTTTGTTTTTGTTTTTGTTGTAGGTGTGGTTATTAATAATTGTGAGTTTGCTGTCATTTTAGTATACATGTTTTTTATCTTCTTTTTCCTACATAAGACCCTTTAACATTTGATATAATAAGGGCTTGGTGATGATGTACTCCTTTAACTTGACCTTATCTGAGAAGCACTTTATCTGCCCTTGCATTCTAAATGAAAGCTTTGCTGGATAGAGTAATCTGGGATATAAGTCCTTGTCTTTCATGACTTGGAATACTTCTTTCCAGCCCCTTCTTGCCTATAAGGTCTCTTTTGAGAAGTCAGCTGACAGTCTGATGGAAACTCCTTTGTAGGGGACTGTCCCCTTATCTCTTGCTGCTTCCAGGATTGTCTCCTTCATTTTTACCTTGGCTAATGTAATTATGATGTGCCTTGGTGTGTTCCTCCTTGGGCCCAACTTCTTTGGGACTCTCTGAGCTTCCTGAACTTCCTGGAAGTCTATTTCCTTTGCCAGAAGGAAGTTCTCCTTTATTACTTGTTCAAATAATTTTTCCACTGGCTGTTCTTCCTCTTCCCCTTTTGGTACCCCTATAATTCGGATGTTGGAATGTTTAAAGATGTCCTGGAGGTTCCTAAGCTTCTCCTCATTTTTTTGAATTCTTGTTTCTTCATTCTTTTCTGTTTGGTTGTTTCTTTCTTCCTTCTGGTCTACTCCATTGATTTGAGTTCCAGTTTTTTTCCTATCACTATTGGTTCCCTGTGCGTTTTCCTTCATTTCACTTAGTGTAGCCTTCATTTTTTCATCTAATTTGCAACCGAAATCAACCAGTTCTGTGAACATCCTGATTACCAGTGCTTTGAACTGTGCATCTGATAGGTTGGCTATCTCTTTGTCGCTTAGTTGTATTTGCTCTGGGGCTGTGATCTGTTCTTCCGTTTGGGCCCTTTTTGGCGGGTGGGGGGGGGGGAGTCTTGTCATGTCTGTTCCCTATGAGGAGCGGAGCCTTTGGTGTTCCCCAGGGCAAGTCAGCCCAGTCGCTGGGTTGTGATGATGGCTGTGGGGGAGGGGACCCAGAGGGAACAATGGCACTTGCTCCACTCTCTCTTGGATTTCAGATCCTTCTGCCACTTCCCACAAGCAAATTGGGCCCATCTGGTGCTGATTCCCGGGTGGGTGGGCTTGTGTACATTTTAGGACCCCGTGGGTCTCTCCAACGCACTCTCCTGTGAGGTTGGAAGTCTCTCCCTGTGCCTCAACCCCCACCGGTGTTTTCAGTGGGTGTTTGAAGCTTTATTTCCCCGAGCTGGGGCCCTGGGCTGCCTGGTCTGTCCCGCTCCCCAGCTTCACCTGGTTTCTTTGCACATGAATGTGGGACCACTTGGTCAGCCCGTGGTCTGCCAATTGCTGCCTGAGCACCTGGGGTCCATCAGCTGCTGCCTTGTGTGCCTGGGTTTGCAAGCCACTGCTTTTTTTTTTTTTTTTTTTTCCCTTTTCTCTGCAACCTTCTCCACCAAGCACCCGACTCCACCTAGCCACCCAACTATGCCCCTCCTACCCAACTGGATGAATGTGTCTAACTCCTTGGTTCTCAGACTTCCGTTCAGTTTTCTGTCAGTTCTGTTTTTTTGTTTGTTTGTTTCTAATTTTTTGTTGTACTTAATTTGGTTGTGCGAGGAGGCACAGTGTGTCTTACGTACGCCTCCATCTTGGCCAGAAGTCCCCCAAATTATTTCTATAAGGATTTGACACACAGAGACATGTATATTTAGTACCTATGACCACAGAGCATCCAAAAACTCTATGGTAAAAGTTCTGGGATTTAAGCTGTTTGAAGGTCAGAATTATGTGTGGTTCTTATTAATATAGTTACTGTAGCATTGTAGATCTTCAGATGTAAATAGCCCATCAGCAGCTAGAGAATTATTTAGACACAATCAAATTGAATCAGGGGTCGTAACTTGTCAACTTTTACTTGGCTCCACTCTTTAACAGTTATAGTTCAGAAAAGATACCACTCTAGATCTCATATTCTGCCCTGTTAAAAAACAGAGTAAGTTCAGAGAAGGAATTTGTCATTATTTACATGCAGTTGGCCCAAAGGGAAAACATTTTTTTAATTAAAAAATTTTGTAAGTTATAGTCCTGGCTGGTAGGGCTTGTGGATTGAGCGCCATCTGCGAACCAAAGGGTCACCGGTTGGATTCCCAGTCAGGGCACATTCCTGGGTTGCCAGCCAGGTCCTCAGTAGGGGACACATGAGATCCAACCATACATTGATGGTTCTCTCCCTCTCTTTCTCCTTTCATTCCCTTCTTTCTAAAAATAAATAAATAAAATATTTTTAAAAAGAAAAAGAAGTTTTGTAAGTTCAGGGGAAAACTAATATTACTGATAGTTTGGAAAATATGTAAAATATTTACTTCTTTTGGACTTCTGGTATAAATGGTGGCATAGCTAAACACAGTTCACCTCTTCACACAACATCAAAATTACAACTAAGTCAGCCCTGGCTGGTGTGGTTCAGTGGACTGAATGCTGGCCTTGGAAATGAAAGGTTGCCTGTTTGATTCCCAGTCAGGGCACATGCCTGGGTTGCAGGCCAGTTCCC